CTCTGTCCACAGGACAGCCCGGCTCTGTGCACAGGGCAGCCCTCTCTGTCCGCAGAGCCTTGCTGAGTCAGTCACCTCCCCAGCAATGAGTCAGGTTTTCTTGGTTCTTCTCAATCTCTGAAGGAGGGCCCTGGAGGCACAGCAGCTGCCTGGTTGCTAAGGGAAAGGTTATCAGTTGAAATCAGCTGGGTAGCTCTTAACAACCGCTAAAGTTGCAGACTAGACGGAGAGCAGAGGGGGACAGCACCCTCCACCCCACGACGTCACCAGCTGAAACAGCAGCACCTGGCCAGGAGAGCTGGAGAGAAGACGGTCACTCACTTTCCATGAAATCAAAACCCAGCAGGTCAAGCTGGAAGACGAGGGTTGCGGCCCTCGGGTGCTGCACAGACGCTCCACACACTGTGGTCATGAGGCGCCGTCGAGAGCCAAACGGCGGCTTCACGACACAAGAGCATCTACTAAATCACTGCCTTCTGTGGCAGGGCGTGGGCAATGAATGGCCTGGCACACCATCTCCGTGACGGCTTTGTCGCACGGTCTTTAGAATCCTCAGTCCATGATGGTGAGGTCGCGAGGAAGGCACAGATGGGCAAAAGTCAGCTCCGTTGTTCACAGGGTCACTGTGAGTCACGGTCAACTAGACGGCACCCAACAGCGACACCTAGCTGGGGAGACCTAGGCTGATGCAAGGTGTTTCTGGACTGGGTAATTATCATCCGAGGTTAAGAAGACCAAGAAGGCCTTGTAGGGCGGCTGCTGTTCCCAGGGGTAACCGAGTGTCCCCTACCACTCACAGGGACCCCAGGGCAACATTCGGAGTCATCTGAGAACAGTTCTGCTCTCTCCTGCACCGACCCTACCATCTCTGCGTGATCAAGCCCACTGCTGCAATCACCGTCAGTCCATCACGTTAAGGGTCTTCCTTCCCTTTGTCGACCCTCCACCTTTGCCAGCATGATGTCTTTTTTCCACAGATGGCCGCTCCTGACAGCACATTCCAAGTATATGAGGTGGTTTCACCACCTTGGCCTCCAAAGAGCAGCCTCGGTGTCCTTCCTCCAGGACAGACTGATCTGCTCTTTCACTAGCCCTTGGGATACTCGGTGTTCTTCTCTGGCACCACAATTCAAAGATATCGTTCTTCTCCACTTTTCCTTATTCATTATCCAACCTTCAGATGCATACAAAGCAACCAATATGGCTTGGATCAAGTGCACCTTAGTCTTTAAGCTGACATCCTTGCTTGCTTTGTTTAAATGGAGTGAGACCATGCAAATAAATTACATAGAATTCTAACACGGGGATTGGTCCGTCCTGCCGTCCTGCCACTAGTCACATGAGCCACCCCAGAGGCAAAAGGGGACCATGTGTCATCATCAAGAGAGAAGAGCCAAGCATGCGGCAGGGCATCTGGGCCCGAGACCCCCGTCCTGGACCCTCCTTTGTCAGGAGACAGGGAGCTATGACGCAGGGGAGGCTGGGTGAGGTGAGAAGGCATGACGCAGGGCAGACAGAGCAGCAGATGAACAGAGGTGTCAGAGCCAGGAGACCGGCAGGGCACAGAGCGGGGGCTTCCTAGTCCAAGGTGCAAGGAAGCCGAGTGCCAAGGACCCTGGGCTTGCCGGCACAGTGTCTCCGGGGCTTCATCGGAACTCCAGGTTTGTTAGAGCGTCACGGGATGATGAGAACAGCCCAGGCTCAGGTCTGTCGTCCACAGGGTCACTATGAGTCGTGCTCAACTTGAAGGCACCTAACAACAACATCCAGGTTTGCTGGTCCAGAGAGTCAGAGCTCTCATTACCTCCCAGGCAAGCTTAGCCGAGAGGGGCACTTACACCAGCAGAGCTAAAGAGCTGTGTGATACATGTCAGAGGAGGGAGCTGAGGGCCAGGCAAGGCCTGCCCTGGGCACTGCTGAGGAGAGAGGCTGTCTTGTCCAGGGAACTAGCTCCAGCATTCTTCTCAACCCTCAACTGTGGCCAGTGACTTCTCCAACAGACCCATCCCTGTGAGCGCTGTGAGTTCTGTGTGGCCACTGCAAATTATCCAGGCCGGCAGGGAAGCAGAGGGTGGCATGGGAGGGACGGCCAGTGCCAGAGTTGACAGAGAAGGTGTGGAGCGTGGGGGCAGGTCACAGGAATTGCCCCTGGGTTGCTGGGGATGATTGTAATGCCCCGTAAAGTTGGAGGAAATGAGAAGACAGTCACCCGTCACCCCCATGCCTGCTTTGTTTCTACCGACAGCAGTGAAGAAGTGAAAACCAACCATGCTTATCACCTTGCTAATTCAACTCTTGCTGACTCCCTGCATGTCCCAGTGGGGCCTGTGCTGCAGAGGGCTTCCAGCGGCTGGCTTTTCAGAAGAGAACTGCCAGGCCATTCTCGCAAGGCTTTTCAGGGTGGACTTGAATCTCTCACCACGTAACTGTGACCAGGGACTCCACGTACACACGAGGCATTTGCTGAGTGTCTGCCAGGAGCAAGACGACTCCTCTGTCCCAGGGACTCACCTGACATGGCAATTTAAGCCCAAGGGATGAAAACCAGCACCCCAGGGCATGAACCCACCTACCTTCGTGTGCAGCTTGGCCAGCTGCTTCTCGTCGACATGGGAATGCTTGTACACCCGCTTCTTGTAGCGAAACTGGCACCAAAGGAGAGAAAGAGAGAGAGAAAAAGGGTAACTATTCCACATGGCAGCTGGGAGAAGAAAGAAGACCTGCCTTTTCTGGGGCTGTTTCCCTGAAGTCAGGGATGCAACTGCCAACTTTTCTGAATTCCTGGATGATCCATCAGGCTCAGCTTCCAGGATGGCAGAGCCAGGGACACGGAGGGGTGTCTGGCTGCATTTGCAGAAATCTGGCTAAAACACGGAAGAAGTGAGAGGACACGACAGGCAGGAGAGGATGCCTGCTTGTGTCCAGCATCCCTCCCCTGACCCCTCAGGGACTGCACTGGCTGCAGGAGGACCTGCCTGCCATTAACACGGGGCTTGTCCCCAGGAAGTTTCCACCACCAAGAACATTGCTTGGCCGATCACCGTTAGTATGTGTGGGATTAAAAGGCGCATCAGGGGCCGGGGTGGGGTCGCCCTCACACACTCCTGTCACCTCTCTGTCTGTGGACTGAAGAGCCCCTGTTCTCCCCCCAAACAGCCACCATCTCCTTTGAACTGAAAATTACAGTGTGTGAATCACAGAAAACACCCTGTACTGAGACATGAGGAAAGAGCTCACAGGAAAAGCCTCACGGCACAGCCTGCTGGGTGCCTTTCCCCCCACCAGACCCCCAAAGCCTGGGCCCTCCTCGCCCTGCCTCCTTCCCATGCCCTGTGTGGCTGGTACATGAAGATGCTCGCAGGGGGCCATTTGGATGAACACTTCTACCCAACAACCAACTGCCCTCCAGCCCAGCTCATGGTGACCCCATGCGTGTCCAAGCTCTGCTCCCTAGGGTTTCCAATGGCTGCTTTCTGGAGTCAGACCTTTAGACCTTTCTTCCTTGGTAACCTCTGTGATGTCTAGAAACTGCAACCTTCCAACAAGCAGCTGAACGAGTCAGCTTTCTGCACCATCAGGAATGGATGGCACACGGGAGTGACGCTGATTTCCAGACAAAGAGTCTGTTTGGGTCCATTCAGGCCCTAGGTGCCTGGGACCCTGCAGCAGACACAACTACATGCAGCCTCTATTCTTATCTGCAGCCTGGAGCCTGGAGAGGAAGGGGCATCCGTCCCAGCACGGCCTCTGGGTGGAATGTGGACGTATTGGCTCAGAAGTGGTGCTGGACAAAGGCTATCTATTTTCCTCTCCCCACCCCTTCCTTTGATACCTTCACACTTCAAGGATTTTAAACGGAAGTACAGGGGAAAAGAAAAAAGAAAAAGAACTTGCAGGGCAGTAGGTGAGCTGATTCTGAAATCCTGGAAGTCTAATCTGCTATCAGGTTTCGAAAAAGGTGGCCTTGTTCTCGTTTCTGCAACTCCACACAAAACCGCATTCAGCAGCGGGCGGGATTCCTGTCTGCACAGATCGAAACTCGGGTTTCTTTGTAAGTGTGGGACTCAGCCAGTGGGGAAACCAGGCTCGCTTAACAGCCTGGGGAGGTCCAGGGCCTCGTGCCCGCGGGAGCGTTCTGGGAGGGACATTGTCTTCCTGAGGGAACCCCAAGACAGGACCATGTCCACACGGGGGCTCCACTGAACCTCTTAAGTTCAGCTGAAAAGCCACATTCTGATGCGACAGCTGTCTTACTCTTGTTGTCGAGATAAGACCCCTCATCTTATCAGTCCACACCCTCTGCTGCCAGTCAGTACTGACTCCCGGACACCCAACAGGACAGATTAGGACACCCACAAGTTTTCCAAGGAGCCCTAGTGGTGTAGCATGTCATATGTGGGGCTGCTAAAGAAAAGGTCAGTTGTTCACATCCACTAGCTGCTCCATGATCTCTCCTGTCGACATTCACAGCCTCAGAACTCCACGGAGAGATGGCACAAGGCTAGACCAACCTGAGAGCAGTGGGTGTGGAACCCGGGGAAGCAGGATGCCACGGCTTTCCTCCATGGAGAGACGGGGGTGGTGGTGGGGGGTGGAAGTGCTAACTTTCTGAGAGGCAGTCAGGTGCTTTAGCCAGTATGTCACTCGTGTTTCCCTTAATTAATCATTCTCCCCCACAGACAACTGTGAAGGCAGACACACCCCAGGAACCTGTCAGCAGTGGGTCTTGCTAACATAATCCCGCTAGGGACTATAGGTTTGAGCCAACAATAGTGTATCGAGATTGGCTTATCACTATTGTTGTTGCTGATTGCCTTTGAGTAGAGCGACCTATGAACAAAAGGCCTGAAGTCCCTCTACAACTATCGACGTTTATCAAACTTCACAGAGTTTCTGGAGGCATGTTGTTTAGGAAGCGGATGCCACTCCTGCTTCCAAGGCTTATTATCACTAGACAGCAACAATGTATTGTTGGTTTATAACTTGTCACAAATGTGTTACAGGAATGTAAGAGAAATGGGGGGGGGCATGTGCAAATGGTGTACTTCTGTTTATTCTTTTTTTTCCCCTGGAAGTCTAAAATGGCTCTAACACACTCTCTCTCTCGCTCATTCTCTCTCTCTCTCGATGTTTATTTCTAGATCCATAAACATTTACAACTCACCTGGGCTCTGAAGCCCAAACTCCCTTCTTGCTCTACCCGCAACCTTGTTTCCTAAGTGACACCTCACTGAAATGACCCACAGCAAATGAGAACAGATCCAGGCCCACCTCAGCCCCTCCTGGCCAATCGTTTGGGGGATGGGTGGCCCAGGAGATGAATAAACAGAAGGGGTTCACTGCACCACTCTGCCTTCTGCCCCAGGCACTGCTCAGCGGGTGCACTGGCCAGTACTTGGGTGTCTCCAGGACTACAGCTCAGAGAGGCTGCAGCGCGCTCGCACCAGCACGCAGCCGAGGCTGTTCAGGCGCCTGGCTCCCGCTGCACCTGGTGAGCTTGAGGTTCACCATGAGGTCAGCAACCCACACCATCAGCACCCACCTGCCCTGAGCAAGTGTCCACAGGGGTCCCCGCAGCCCACTGGTCAGTGACCCTGACGCAGACCTGCCAATGACGTGGTATATCCTCGCGCCTGCCCTGTGTGGTCTCACCCTTTGGTGGTGCAAACAGTGAGGTGCTCATCTACGATCCACGAGGTAAAGGCACTCCACAGAAAGGGTGGGCGAGTTCCCACTTCCCAGTCCCCATTCACACCAGGCACAGCCTCAATGCCTCAGGTTCTTTTAAGAGGGGTCCTGGAGACACAGTGGTTTACGCATCTGGCTGCTAGCCAAAGTGTCAGTGGTTCTAACCCAGCAGCTGCTCCGTGGGAGAAGCATGAGGCAATCTGCTTCCAGAAAGTTCCCTCTGGGGCAGGCTCTGCTCTGTGCTGTTCTCAACCAGAGTCAGCTCTATAGCAGTGCGTCTGGGGCTTTGGTGAGACAGCAGTCCCTTCTAGCTGCGCGAGCAGAGAGAGAGAAGACATTCTGCTTCCATAAGGATTTACAGCTTTGGAAATCCCACGGGGCAGTTCTAAGGAGCTCTGCTGGCCTCGTGGTAAGAAGCTGGCTGCAACGCCGAAGGCGAGCAGTTCTAATCCACTAGCTGCTCTGTGAGTTACTGCCTCTGAAATCCCCTGGAGGCTCAGCTGCGGGTCGGTTCCGACTTGACGGCACACAACAACAACATGAGTGGGAGCCAACGAGATGGCAGTGGTGTTTGTGAGGCAGCCCCCGTCCCCGTGTGGTGTGGGGCTGGGCCCCCACCCTGCAGCGGGCACAGGAGGGCCGGGGGGCACGTCCCTGGCAGTGGTACCTCCAGCGAGGGCACGCCCTTGCCCGCGGGCTGCGGGTACTCCCGGAGCAGCCGCTCCTCGTCCAGGAACTTGCCGTCGCGCCCGTTGCTGGCCGGCTGGAAGAGGCCGTAGTTGAGCACGTCCTTCAGGCTCTGGTTAAGCGTGCACAGCACCCTCTGCTTGGCCACCCACACCGTCGCGTCCGGGTTGAAGCGGATGCACTTCTGCAGGGACCAAGAGAGAGGACGTGTTAGTGGACACAAAGCTGGCACTCGCGGCAGCCCACCTCCAGGGCCCTCGGACAAAGCTGGAGCCCGAGGAGGCCCAGCTCCGGGACAAAGATGGAGCCAAGAAAGCCTACTCTCAGGGGCAGTGGACACAATGCTGGAGCCCGAGGAAGCCCACTTCTAGCGGCGGACTTGCCAGTGGGGCTTCCCTCCTGTTCCAGTCATTTGCTGAGCACCTGATGGCGTCACCGTTCAGCACTGCTCGCTGCCGGGTGAAAGGGGCTTGGGAAATGAGAAAAGAGTAAATGGGTCTGGAGGCACTGCAGTGAGGCATCACCTTGCCAAATTCAGGGGGGTACAGGAGGAAAACGTGCAACGATGAATGAATGTGGGCGGATTAAATGGAAAGAATATGCTGTAAAAAATTCAACAGAACAGCAAGCACCAAATGCTGGCGAGGTTGTGGAGAAACTGGAACCCTTATTCCCTGCTGGTGGGAGTATAAAATGGTGCAACCACTGTGGAAGGTGGTATGGCGCTTTCTCAAAAAGTTGCAAATTGAAATACCATTTGACCCAGCAATTCCCCTACTGGGAATATACCCTAAAGAAACCATAACTGCCACCCAGGCAGATATACGCACACTCATGTTTATTGCAGCTTTGTTCACAATAGCAAAGAGCTGGAAACAACCTAAATGCCCATCAACAAATGAATGGATAGAGAAGCTCTGGTTTATTCACACAATGGAATTCCTACACTGCATTGAAAAACAAGGAACTCATGAAATACTATTCAAAATGGGTGGCCCTGGAGGACATGATGCTGAGTGAAATATCTCAGTCACGAAAGGACAAATATTGCATAGTGCCACTGTTGTAGAATGGGACTGACATCAGGGTTGGGGTGAGACTGAGAAAAATTGGATAAATTTTGTATACTGCATTATAGGAAACAGATGTGGGGGAGAGAACAGTTTAATAGCGACATATGATTAGGTATTATGGTTATGATAAGAGTCCAGAATGAAGGTTACATAGTGGAGTGCACTCAGGGTGGGGGATGGGGGCATTGTATATCAACAAAGGAATTTTTCTTTTACTTTTCAAAGAGCAGAGCGAACTGCGGGGGAGAGGTGGGGCAGGGAGAAAAATGTAACAACGAATGAGTGGAAATCCAAAATCTCTGTAAATGTTCACTAAAATTAATTAAAAAATTATATATATAAAAAGAATTTATAATAAAGATAAACTCAAAACTAAAAAAAGTACATATGTTGCATTAAAAAAATCATTACTTAAAAAAAAGAAGAAAAATTTATATGGACTAAATGGATTCTGGTCCAAATTAGGGGGGGAAAAAAAGAAAGAAAGCAAGATGAGTTTCCAGAGCAGTTTAGCCAGGTGGAGCGCCAGCAAAACTGAGAACATCCTCCAGAGGACAGGCGACACAGCAGCCACGGCAATGGACACGCCATGGACAGTGACTCCCACGGACATGGCCAAGGACCTGTGAAATTTTATTCTGTTACATGGCTACCAAGCCAAAGGTGGGTGACTCTAATCCGCAGCCCTCAGGCCCGTTTTTCATTGTTTTTGTTCCAACAGTCTTCTAGGTCGTATCACCCTGGTGTGTTGTGGTTGCTGTGAAGCTGAACACTGTGACACTGATGTGTCAGATGTGAGAATGGTTACCCATGGTGGATAGTGTTCGGTGGAGCTCCCCAGTTAAAACAAGCTTGGAAGCAGGAGTGGCATCCACTTCCATAGCAGCTCCTGGAAACCCTATGAACCTGGAGAAAGGATGAAAGTCACGCACACAAGTGTCCAGGACTTTCATTCATAGGGTCACTATGAGTCGTCTACGACTCGATGGCACTGAACAACAACACGTACATGGCTGCCTGAGTCAACAAGGCAGCACCTAACAACAACAGCAACAACAGGACCATCGAGGCCCAAGGCCTGACACGCACCAGCGTCTCACAGTCCCTGCTCACAGGACTGGGTGCACTGCATTGTTAGGTATCATCAAGTCCATCACACAACCAAAGACCCCCGTCCTGCTGTCCTCACAATCGCTGTGGTGTTTCCTCAGCCTCTTGGTGAAGCCAGTGCCAATCCCCCCCCCACCTCGCCCTGCCCCGGGGACTCCTCCGGGGACCGGTCCCTCCCAGGCCCGTCACCATTCTCGCTTCTCAGGAGCCCTGGCCACGCTTCCTGAACACAGACTCACTGCTTTCCCGGTGTCCACGCCTGTTAACAACAGCCCGACACCACAGCCCCAGCACGGCGGTTCTTCCTAACTCAGGACACTCGGGTTTGAGTTCAGCATACCTTAGTGCTCAGTGTGACCTCTTTGCTTTTTAACACTTTAAAGAGCTCAGCATTTCTGCTCTATGCAATATATGATTTGTTCTTCTGGTAATCAGTAAATAATACAGACTACAGCCTTTGTACAGAGTACATTTCATCACAAGATAACCGAAACCCTCAAAAATGGACAAAAAAAGTCACATGAGGATGCATGGAGAAAAGACTGACGTTATCTAAGAGTTCATTTTCCGTGGATGCACTTCAACGCCATGGAGATCAAAGGAAGCTTTGCATTGGTGAAGTCGCCTGCTAAGCAGTGCCCAAGAGCAAGGCTATTGGTTTAAAGGCTAAAGCGTGCTTGACTCAAGCCATGGTATTTTCAATTGCTCCACAGGCTATGTGAAAGTTGGACAGCGCCTAAGGAAGACCGATGAAGACCTGATGCTTCTGGATGGTGGTCTTGGCAAAAGTGTCAGCCAAGCCACGGGCTGCCAGAGGAACCTGCAAATCTTTGCTGGCTGAACTGTCCCCTCAGTGGTTCGCATGGTAAGACTTCATATTCTCTGAGCATGTTGTAGGGGGGCGTCCCCGGAAAAGAAAACCATGCCTGAAAAGGTGGAGGGTCAGAGAAGGACCCAGAGAAATGGATGGACACACTGAACTGGAGCCATGACCTTGAGCACGGTGGACTTGTGAGGGCTGTGTTGGGCCGGGCCAGGATCTGCAGTGTCAGTCACAGGGTCACTGTGAGTCCAAGCAGATGCACTGGCAGTAACAAAACCAGCAGCAATCACCCACTACCCGGGGAGAGCTGTCTTACCAGGAAGGTGCTTGACATCACCCACGTGCCTCTGTGCCCTGCCCCAGCAGCGCCGGACACCCCAACTCCCAGCAGGACCAAGGGCATGAGTTTCCCAAAGTTTGAAATGATGCTGTTGTTGCCAGCCTGGGGAACACTCTGGGAACAGATGCTTGTCCAGAGAGTGACATTCCTGACACGGGGACTGTCCTGTCTGGTAAACTCACTGGTGCAAGAGTCGACGGCATAGACCCTCCACCTACGCTGACCCTGGACTCAAAAAAGCTTCAGGAAACATCAGCATTGGCCCTTCCAAACAATAAAAGAAGGCAATTAGGGAAAAGGGTTGGCTGGAAAATCAAACCTGCAGCTGCCAGAGCTAATTTCTGGAAAAGTTAAACAGTGTCAACTGTGCCTGTAAACCAATCACAAACCCTTTCAAAGCTTAAAAGCAACACCAGGCATTGGAAGAGCTCCCTGGTCATGTTCCCAAGATCTTTCTGTGAGGCTAACCAAGAAGCTGGGAAAAGCAAAAACCCGGGCCAAATGGGCTTCTGTCCTCCGTTCCTAACCGTGCTGTTGAATTAAAACCCTAGGCTGCCAGGCACTCCCAGAGAAGGAGGAGGGATGAGTAGGTGGAGGCCCGGCCATGGCTGGGACGGTGACACTGCCGCAGGGTGCCATGAGGATGGAGGCCTGATGGATCTGTCAAACCTATGTACAAACTAATGGTACAAAACCCAGGAGAACCCTAAATGCTCGGAGGTGGCCTTGGGAGAGTAACAATGTATCACTGTTTATCCACTGTAACAATCACAGTGTCATCATTGTAAAATGTAAGAAGACAAGCTGGGTGCACGCAAGGGGGACTCAATACTCTCCAGCAAGAAGTCTAGCAGAGCAGCAATTGAGCATGCAGCCCCTAACCCCACCCGCCGCCCCACAGTTGAAAGAGTCAGCAGTCTGTCTGCTTCTGTAAGAATTTGGGGTCTTGGAAATCCCAACAGACCGTTCCACTTTGACCTACAGTGTATCTGAGTCAGAATCGACTCAACAGCGATGGATTTGGATTTCTGGAGTTTTGTTTGTATATTTTCAGTGTGATTTTTCTATAAATTTAATATTGCTCTCAAAAAGAAACCTGCTCACTGCTGTTGAAAAAAATTCTGACTCCCAGTCAGTGACCCCAAAGGACAAAGCGAATGCCCCCAGTGGGTCTCCAAGGCTGGAAAGTGTTACGGGGGCAGCCCACCCCGGCCTCCGCCTGAAACACTACAGCGGATGCCAATCGCCGAGTCTTAAATTAGCAGTCCAGCACTTAATCCATTGTGCCACTACAGTGGCTTCTCAAAGTCTATTAAATATACATTTATTTTTTTCAATTATTTGTGTGTGTGTGTGTGTGTGTGTGTGTATGTTTATATATTGTTGTTGTTGTTGTTAAGTGCTGTCGAGTCGTAGGCGACTCATAGCGACCCTATGAATGAAAGTCCTCAACACTTGTGTGACTTTCATTCTTTCTCCAGGTACATAGGATTTCCGGAGGCAAGCTATTTACGGAATTGGATGCCACTCCTGTTTCCAAGCTTGTTTTAATCAGGGAGCCCCACCCAACACTGTCTGCCATGGGTAACGATTATTGCATCTGACATGTCAGTGTCACAGCATTCAGCATCACAGCAACCACGAGTCACCGTTGTGGACACACCAGGGCTATACGACCTAGAAGAATGTTTGACCAAAAACAATGAAAAAACTAGCATTCCATACTTTCCTCTCTTCAAGACGCAAAAGGCCGCATCCAGTTGACATGAAGACTCCAAGACACTCGCCCTCACCCTGCAGGCGTGGCCGACATTTCAGTATTTTACCATTCCGGCATA